GGCTGGATGCAGTGCCTCACACCTGTAATCCTAGCGCTTGGGGAGGCTGAGACGGGAGGATCACTTGAGGCCAGGAGTTGGGGGCCAGCCTGGACAACCTTAGCAAGATCCTATTTCTATATTTAAAAAAAAAAGGAATTATTTCTGTTGTTTTCTTGTCTCTCATTAGGGCATGTTGTTTGCTGTCCTCTGTTGCCTTGTGTTATTCCAGGGCTTCGACTTACAGTGCTGCTGTGGGAAAGTATTTTGAGCTCAGAAAACATTTGTATTTTCCACGAGAATCACAGGAGAAGTGTGCATGGCCCCACTGTCTCCTGTGAGGGTGAAGACGTGGATTTAAAAGACTCTTGAAGAGCTGGGTGTGGTGGCTCAAGCCTGTAATCCCAGAACTTTGGAAAGCTGAGGCAAAAGGATAGCCTGAGCCCATGGGTTTGGGACCAGCCTGGGCAACTTGGTGAGACCTCATCTCTATAATAAATCAAAAGATTAGCCGGGCATGGTGGCGCATGCCTGTGGTTCCAGGTACTCGGGAGGCTGAGGCTGAAGGATCACCTGAGCCCAGCAGGTCGAGGCTGCAGTGGCCGTGAGTGTGCTGCACTCCAGCCTTGGAGGAAAAAAATGATTAGGAAGGGGCAGAGCATGTGACAGTGTGTGATCCTGTTCTGTTTACCATCGTGTTTGGGCATCAGAGATTAATGCAGATTCTGTAAAATATGGCCCTTAAGACTGAGAAGAGTCAGTTCTGTTTAGCTGATTGTCACACAATTTGTTTAACATGAGGATAATCATGAGCTATTTCCTGTTTTGTGCAAGGGAACCTTGGTAGGATAAAAAGTTTTCTAGAATCTGCACCTTTATCTGGTGGGACAGAGACTGAAAGTAGTGATTCTCTTGCTTTTTTTTTTGAGACAGTCTCACTCTGTTGCTGAGGCTCGAGTGCAATGGCACGCTCATTGCCACTGCAGCCTTGACCTGCTGCACTCAGGTGATCCTTCTGCCTCAGCCTTTCAAGTAACTGGAACCACAGGTGTGTGCCACCACGCCCGGCTAATTTATTTGACTTATTGTAGAGACGAGATCTTGCCATGTTGCCCAGGCTGGTCTTGAACCCCTGGGTTCAGGCAGTCCTCTTGCCTCAACCTCCCAAAGTGCTGGGATTACAAGCTTGAGCCACTGTGCCTGGCCTCCATTCTTTTTTTTTTTGAATTGAAGTCTTACTCTGTCGCCCAGGCTGGAGGACAGTGGCATGCTCACAGCCACTATAGTCTCGACCTGCTGGGCTCAGGTGATCCTTCTTCCTCAGTCTTCCAAGTAGCTGGAACTGCAGGCATGAGCCACTATGCCTGGCTAATTTGTTGATTTACTGTAGAGATGAGGTCTCGCCAAGTTGCCTGGGCTGGTTTTGAATCCCTGGTCTTAGGCAGTCCTCTCACCTTGGCCTCCCAAAGTGCTGGGATTACAGGCTTGAACCATCTCACCTGGCCTGCGTTTTTTTTTTTTTTTTTTTTTAAGAAAAAAAAAATGGTGGTGTTGTGACCAGTTATGCAAGGTCTCACTCTGGCACACAGGCTGGAGTGCATTGGCACAGTCACAGCTTACTACAGTGTCGAACTCCTGGGCTTAGCCTTCCAAGTAGCTAGGACTTTAGGTGGGTACCACCACGTCTGGCTAACTTTTGTATTTTTGTTTTGTTTTGTAGAGTTGGGATCTCACCAGGCTGGTTTGGAACTCTTGGCCTCAACCTCAAGTGATCCTCCCACCTCGGCCTCCCAAAGTGCTGGGATTATGGGATTACAAGTGCGCACCAACACGTGTGGCCAGTTCTGCTACACTGGGTTTGAGGGACTTTTCCTCTTTTTTTTTTTTTCTTTTTTTTGAGTTGGAGTCTCACTCTGTCGCCCAGACTGGAGTGCAGTGGCAGCCTCGACCTGCTGGGCTCTGGCGATCCTTCTGCCTCAGCCTTCCAAGTAGCCAGAACTACAGGTGTGTGCTACCATGCCCCGCTCATTTTTATTTATTGTAGAGATAAGGTCTCACCAAGTTACCCGGGCGGGTCTTGAACCTGCGGGCTCAGACAATCCACTCACCTCAGCCTCCCAAAGCCGCGGGATTACAAGCTGAGCCACCGAGCCCGGCGGGACTTTTCCTTGAAGCAGGTGCAGCCCGGGAGTGGGAACGGCTGTGCTTTCTGTCATATATCCTTGGAGGAACATCCCCACTCCTGGACACTGCTAAGATTTTTAGATGTGGGTGGCTGTTGCATAGATAAGCTGCTTGTTTTGGGCATCTATGACGATGTCACGATCTTTCCTTTGCTGTGGTTTTGCGGCCAGTTATGCAAGGTGAGTTCGTAGCATTTTACTGTAACAGTAACACACGTAGAACTTCCATACATCAGTGGCACAGTCAACGGGAGCATTCTGAAGTGGGCGTTGTGTCATGACTGTCAGGCCGAGCCTGGAAGAAACCCACACGTCCCCAGACGAGGCCAGCATCTTGAATTAGGAGGTGATTTTCTCGCTTTTCTTCATAGGTCCATCACTTGTCTCTGCATCTCCAGTCAACATATTTTTGCATAATTATTCGGTATGCAGATGGCATTCTGTGTGTATGTACTACCATATGTCAGTTTCTCTTTTATTTTTAGTTGGCACAAAATGATTGCACATATTTATGGGACATAGAGTGGTATTTTTATCCATGTATACGATACACAGTGATGAAATCATCAGGGTCATTAGCATAGTCAGCATCTGAAATGGGCATTGTTTCTTTGTGTTGGGAACAGTCAGAGGCCTCCCTCTTAGTTTCTTGAAATACAAATTACATTATTGTTAACTAGGGTCACCCTACAGTGCTGTAGGATTCTGGAACTTACTCCTCTTACCTAGCTGTAATCTTGTATCTGTTAACCAATCTCTCCCTCACCTCCCCTTTCCAGCCTCAGTTCTACTCTCTACTTCTTTTTTTGGTTTGTTTGTTTTTTGTTTTTGTTTTTTTGGGGTCAGAGTCTCACTGTGTCACCCAGGCTGGGGTGCTGGTTCACCGCAGCTGCAACCTCCTGGGCTCAGGTGATCCTCACCTCAGCCTCCTGAGTAGCTGGGATTACAGGTACCACCATGCTCAGCTAATTTTTTTATTTTTTGTAGAGACAAGGTCTCACTATGTTTCCCAGGCTGGTTTTGAACTCCTGGGCTCAAAGGATCCTCCTGCTTTGACCTCCCAGAGTGCTGGGGTTACAGGCATGAACTACCGCTCCTGGCCTTTTTTTTTTTCCAGTTGCTGTCTCACTCTATTACCCAGATAGGAGTGCAGTAGCACAATGATGGCTCACTGCAGTCTCAAACTCCTGGGTTGAAGGGATCCTCCCTTCTCAGCCTCCCAAGCAGCTGGGACTACAGATGTGTGCCACCACATCTGGCTTTTTTTTTTTTTTTTTTTTGAGTCGGAGTCTCACTCTGTCACCCAGACTGGAGTGCAGTGGCCGCTCCCGGCCACCACAGCCTCAACCCGCCGGGCTCCGGCGATCCTTCCGCCTCAGCCTTCCGAGTAGCTGGAACTACAGGCGCGCGCTACCATGCCCGGCTAATTTTTTGATTTATTCTAGAGATGAAGTCTTGCCAAGTTGCCCAGGCGGGTCACGAATGATTTATTTTTCATAATGATTTGCTCTTATATAGATGTGGATTTCTGTTGAATTTCTGTGTCTCTTTTACCATCTTCCTGGGTGATGCCACTTGCCTTTAATTCCAGGTGCTTGGTTATTTACTTGGGAGACCCTGGAGGCTTGACACAAATATCTTCAGGAACCAGGTGCTATTCCTGTCCTGTGGGCATTGCCAGGTCCCATGGCCGTGGCCCACTTCATGCCACAGTGTCCATGTCATCCTTGAGGGATATCTCTGCTTGCCTCAACCAGCCTCCCTGAGTCTGTTGCCTTCTGAGAAGGGAGTGTTGTTCGACTAAGCAGTGTCAGAAATCTGCCCTAAGCGTTTGCAACATCCTGTCATTCTGGTACCGGTTCTTGGAGCTGAATAAGAAATAATAGAAGCCGGGCTCAGTGGCTCAGCCTGTAATCCCTTGCTTGGGGAGGCTGAGGTGAGTGGATTGTCTGAGCCCGCGGGTTCGAGACCCGCCTGGGCAACTTGGCGAGACCTCATCTCTACAATAAATAAAAAATTAGCCGGATGTGGTAGCGCGCGCCTGTAGTTCCGGCTGCTTGGAAGGCTGAGGCGGAAGGATCGCCGGAGCCCAGCAGGTCGAGGCTACGGTGGCCAGGAGTGGCCACTGCACTCCAGTCTGGGTGACAGAGTGAGACTCCAACTCAAAAAAAAAAAAAGAGAAATAATACAATTTGAGACTGGGTACAGTGGCTCACACTTGTAATCCCAGCACGCTGGGAGACTGAGGCAGGAAGATTGCTTGCAGCCAGGAGTTTGAGACCAGCCTGGGCAACATAATGAGGTCTCGTCTCTACAAAAATTAAGAAATAATGTAGCTGGGTGTGGTGGTGCCTACCTGTAGTCCCAGCTACTTGGGAGGGCAAGGCAGGAGGATCGCTTGAGCCCAGGAGCTGGAGGCTGGTGAGCTCTGATTGCATCACTGCACTCCAGCCTGGGTGACAGAGTGAGACCCTGTCTCTATAAAGAAAGAAAATCAAGTCAAATCAATAAATGATAAAATGGAGCAAGCCACGTGTCAGTTTCCACGTTACCTGGGTGATGATTTCATTTTCCAGTCTTTGCCCTGCCCCCACAGCTGCCCCGTCTCAGTAATCGTTTGTCTTTACCGGTTGTCACTGTACTTGGCTTCATGTCCCCAAAGCACTTACCCTCGCTGAGCACATTGGCATATGACTTGCCATCTTTCACAAGAGCATGAGGCCCCCGTGACTCGGCATCTGTGATTGAGGCCGGTTCCCAGACTGTCAACCCCAGCGTCATCCTGTGTGTGCAGGGAAGATGCTGCCTCGCTGAAACAGAGTCTGTGGGATGTTGTAGGACTCGGTGGTCTTCGAAGAGGTGGCTGTGAACTTCACCCCAGAGGAGTGGGCGCTGCTGGACGGTGCTCAGAGGACCCTCTACAGAGATGTCATGCTGGAGACCTGCAGGAACCTGGCCTCCTTAGGTAAGGACGGCTCCCTTCCTTACCTCTGTCCGTAGGGAGAAAGTAGCTCTTGTCTTTTTACATTTGGGCTCAGAAGCTGGGCTCAGTGGCTCAGCCTGTCATCCCGCGCCTTTGGGAGGCTGAGGTGAGTGTGGATTGCCGGAGCCCGCGGGTTCGAGACCCGCCTGGGCAGGCGAGACCTCATCTCTACAATAAATCAAAAAATCAGCCGGGCATGGTAGCGCGCACCTGTAATTCCGGCTACTCGGAAGGCTGAGGCTGAAGGATCGCCGGAGCCCAGCAGGTCGAGGGGCCAGGGGCTGGGAGCGGCCATTGCACTCCAGTCTGGGCGACAGAGTGAGACTCCAACTCAAAAAACAAAAAACAAAACAAAACAAAACAAAAACATTTGGACTCAGAAATTGGAATATGCTGGAGAAGAGACAGACCTGGTCCAGAGTCCGAAGGCTTCTCCACGAAAATAGTTTGTGGATGATTGACATTTCTTTTTCCTTGGCTACCAGACTTGAGGCTTCCTGTGTTTTAGAAGCATGAGTGTCAGCCGAGTGCGGTGGCTCACGCCTGTAATCCTGGCACCTTGAGAGGCTGAGGCAGGAGGATCACTTGAGCCTGGGAGTTTGAGACCAGCCCGGGCAATATAGTGAGACCTCATCTCTACAAAAAAATTTTTTTAAATTGGATGCGTGTGGTGGTACACACTGGTAGTCCCAGCTAGTTGGGAGGCTAGGGTGGAAGGATTGCCTGAGCCCAGGAGGTCAAGGCTGTGATCATACCACTGCGCTCCAGCCTGGATGATACAGTGAGACCCCCCCCCCAAAAAAAAAGAAAAGAAAAAGAAAAAAGAAAGTTACGCTGAGATTAATCCACATTTGACATGGGATGTTTGCTTAGCTAAACCCACACTTCATCACCATCAGTGGCCTTGAAGACCAAAGTATCGGCCAGTTTCATGGAAACGTCTGTGGCTTTTCACTGCCCTCCCTTACCCTGGGATTTTCTCCTCCATGGGCAGGAGGCATGCACAGCACTGACTCCCTGGGGCAGCCGGGGGCGTGGGGATGGGATTCACGTAGGGCCTCTGTGCACGCGAATGCCAGGAGGGCAGGAACCCTCAGGAGGAAGAGGCTTTTCGTGAAGGGATTGTGTTTGGAAATGTCAGTCAGAAGCAGGCCAGGTAAGGTAGCTCATGCCCGTAATCCCAGCACTTTGGGAGGCTGAGGTGGGAGGATCCCTTGAGACCAGGATTTCAAAACCAGCCTGGGCAACGTGGCAAGACCCTGTCTTTACTAAAAATTAAAAATAAAAATAAGAGAATTAGCTGGGTCTGGTGGCACGTACCTGTAGTTCCAGCTACTCAGGAGGCTGAGGTGGGAGGATTGCCACCACTGTTCTACAGCCTGGGTGACCGAGTGAGACCCTGTCTCTGAAAAACAAAAACACAAACAGAAACATAATCCTTCTGCCTCAGCCTTCCAAGTAGCTGGAACTAAAGGCATAAAAGCAAAGCCAAAGAAAACAGAAACGTAAACCCTTCTCTGGGGGGAGGGAGAAGTCTGTCTTCTCACTTGGCTGCCTTGTTTGCCACGGCCTGCGTCGCCGCGCACAATTCCTCCTCCCAGGGGACGGCCTCTGCATTTCTTCCCGTAAAGGGAGCATCTGGGCATGTGCGTTCTGCCACCTCCGTCCTGCTTTGCTTTTCTGATAACGTTTTGCTTATCGCAACATCAGTCTCCATCTGTTTGGAGCTATTTCTTAGGATCCAGGCTGCCATTTTTTCTGTTCTTCATTATTCTTCTGAAATAGATGAGGTCCTCTGACTCTCACTTTGGTGATATACCCATTCTTCCTCACGTGCTTGCATTTTTCAAGCCAGTAAATGAAATAAATCCACACGTGTCCTGTTTTCTTTGCTTTATCCCACCCTTTTTCCCCCCTAAGAAATGAAACTGTGTTGCAGATTGTTGCATTTATGTTAGAACCCGTGGTTCCAGTCCTCAGCGCGGGATTTTTGGGAATGAAATGCCCAGTGATGAGAAAATTGTACAATTCACAAGAAATGGCTCCTGGTCTGTTTTGGGAGAAAACTGGAGATTTCATAACATTGGAGATCACCAAATCCCGCAGAGACATCTGAGGTGGGCTGCACCAAACCAGAGGGATGAGTGTTGGAGTAGCTTGGAGTCACAGAAAAAGCATAAGCCCCCTAAACAGTCGTGTACTATCAGAAAATGTTAATAGAACAATGTTTTCATAAATGTGATGTCAGTGTTGAGCACCTGAAATGTAATAAAATGGAAGCAGCATCAGGAATTCCCATCTGTAAGGAACACGTGGAAATTGTGGCTGGCGGTGAGCCCCCAGCCAGAGCACCAGCTTCTTTCACCTGGAAGCAATGCAGGTGCTGAGAATATATCCATTCAGTGAAAAAGGCGAATGTGTAGCCAAAATAATGACCAATAACCATTGATATGTCGTTAATAAGTCACATTTAGCCAGGCTTGGTGGCTCAGCCTGTAATCCCATGCTTTGGGAGGCTGAGGTGAATGGATGGCCTGAGCCCGCGGGTTCGAGACCCGCCCGGGCAACTTGGCGAGACCTCAGCTCTACAACAAATCAAAAAAATCAGCCGGGCGTGGCAGCGCGGGCTTGTAATTCCAGCTGCTTGGAAGGCCGAGGCGGAAGGATCGCCGGAGCCCAGCAGGTCGAGGCTGCGGTGGCCAGGAGCGGCCACCGCACTCCAGTCTGGGCGACGGAGTGAGACTCCCACTCAAAAAGCAAAAAGTCACATTTATGCATCGGGGACTAATATTGTGCTTCCTGTTTTGAACAGAAGTCAGGTGGTGGAGGGCCCTTGTGAAAGCAACGAGGGTCACGAATGTAGAGAAGCCTCGGGCCAGATTGTGAACCTTCTGTGGACGAGAATCGTCCCCCTGAAGCTCAACCCTACGAATGCACCAGGCGTGGCAAAGCCTTCAAGGATCAGCAGTGATCTCACCCTGGACAGAGACTGTGTCAGTGAGAGGACTGTGGACAAGCCTGCAGTTGTTTCTTGTGCCTGAGCGCTCACGTGAACACGCTCCTTGCGGAGAAGCCCTGTAAATCTCGGGATTCTGGGAGAGCATCCAAGAAATACGTGAAAAGTCTCGGCAGTAAACAATTGTTTGAATGTAAGAAATGTGGAAAAGCTTTCACTTGTCCGTCCTCATCCAGGGGACACGTGAGAGGTCACCGTGGACAGAAAACCCATGCGTGTAAAGTATGCAGGAAAACCTTCATGTATCACTCCTACCTTATCCGGCATATCAGAACACACACTGGAGAGAAACCCTACGCATGTAAGGAGTGTGGGAAAGCTCTCACACCGGAGAGAAGCTGTGTGAATGCAAGCATTGTGGAAACCTCTTTCGTTGTTACTCGCCTTTCCGAGATCACGTGAGAACGCACACTGGAGACAAGCCCTGTCAGTGTAAGCATTGTGGGAAAGCCTTTGGGTGTCCCACGTACTTTAGAAGATACGTGAGCGGGTTCGTGACCCACCTGGGCGCGAGACCTCATCTCTACAATAAATAAGAAAATCAGCCGGGCGTGGTAGTGCGCGCCTGTAGTTCCAGCTACTCGGAAGGCAGAGGCAGAAGGATCGCCGGAGCCCAGCGGGTCGAGGCTGCGGTGGCTGGGAGCGGCCGCTGCCCTCCAGTCTGGGCAACCGAGTGAGACTCCAACTCAAAATAAAAAAAGAAGACACGTGAAAACGCATGGTGGCGTGAAGCCCTACGCATGTCAGGAGTGTGGGAAAACGTACAGCTGTTCCTCATCCCTTCGTGTGCATGTGACACACTGGAGAGAGGCCGTATGAATGCAAGCAGTATGGGAAAGCCTTTAGGTATCTGGCATCCTTTCAAGCACATGTGAGGACACATGCTGGAGAGTAGCTCTAAGAACTGTAAGCCTGCATTCCTGACAACTTTGGAGGCCAAGGTGGAAGGATCGCTTGAGCCCAGGAGTTTGAGACCAGCCTGGGCAATATGGAGATGCCTCGACTCTACAAAAAAAAAATTAATGGGGCATAGTGGTGTGTACCTATAGTCCCAGCTGCTTGGGAGATTGAGGCTGAAGGGTCACCTGAGCCCAAGAGGTCGAGGCTGTGGTTAGCCATGATTGTGCCACTGCACACCAGCCTGGGCAAGAGAGTGAAGCTCTGAGAGAAAAAAAATTAGGGACGGGCTCGGTGGCTCAGCCTGTAATCCCAGCACTTTGGGAGGCTGAGGTGAGTGGATGGCCTGAGCCCGTGGGTTCGAGACCCACCTGGGCAACTTGACAAGACCTCATCTCTACAATAAATCAAAAAATTAGCCGGGCGTGGTAGCACGCACCTGTAGTTCCAGCTACTTGGAAGGCTGAGATGGAAGGATTGCCGGAGCCCAGCAGCTTGAGGCTGCAGTGGCTGGGAGCGGTCATTGCACTACAGTCTGGGTGACAGAGTGAGACTCAAAAAGAATTATAATAAAATTATATTAAATGTGGGAAAGTGTTCAACCATAAGATCTTGTTGTCAATGTAAAAAAACACACTGGTGAAAAACCTCATTTATGTAGAGAATTTGAGAAAACCTGTTATAGAGAACTTATTTTGTACATTAAGACTCAGAGCCGGCGTGGTGGTTCATGCTTATAATCACAGCACTTTGAGAGGCAGAGGTGAGAGTGGGTGACATAGTGAGACCTTGTCTCTATTAGGAAGAAAGAAAGATTGATTTGAAAACTCAGAGTAGGAGAGAAACCTCTTAATTATGATTAAGATGGTGTTGCCTTTTGTATGCCTCAGCCTTAATAGTGTATTACTTTCTAGTTTATGTCTGTGACATAAACACTTAAGATAATAAATATCCTGTTTTGTACTCTCAGTTTATACTAATACTTTGTTATATAGGGCTTTAAATAATTGTACAGTTACATAACTCGTCTCATTTATGTTACAATGTCTTTTGTACCCATGGTGATGAAGTGTTTTTTGTTTTCATGTGCAACTTGTGATTTTTAGATGCAACATTTTTGTTTCTACTTTCCATTAGGTTTCCAGTGTGTGATGATGATGATATGAGACCTTGGTGTTGTTGAAATTTCTTTTCCAATCCGCTGTTGCAAATACTGGAATCTGCTGTCAGACACCCATCAAGCAATACCCCTGCCTTGGCTTCCCATGGTGGGATTACAGGCGTGAGCCACCAGGCATAACCGTTTTTTAAGTTTTTGTTTTTGGAGAGATGAGACCTTTCTATGTTGCCCAGGCTGGCCTCAGACTCCTGGCTTCAAGCAATGTTCCTGCCTTGGCCTCCCAAAGTGCTGGGGTTACAGGTGTGAGCCACCACACATGGCCTGGAAGAAACTAGTTCTCTGCTCCTCTGTGAGAGGCACTGCAGACCATGTTATCTCAAGACCATACCACCTCAGAGGACAGGTATCACTCTCCCCCTTTACGGATGGAGTCTGAAGCTACAGGGAGTAACTTCAACTAAGCCAAGATCATAGATACTATTCATAATTTAGCCTATATATATATATATATATTTTTTTTTTTTTTTTTTTTTTTTTTTTGAGTTGGAGTCTCTGTCGCCCAGACTGGAGTGCAGTGGCCGCCCCCGGCCACCGCAGCCTCGACCCGCTGGGCTCCGGCGAGCCTTCCGCCTCCGCCTTCCGAGTCGCCGGAATCACAGGCGCGCGCTACCCAGCCCGGCTGATATTTGATTTATGGTAGAGATGAGG